GACGCGTTTCAGAAAGGCGGGGCATAGAGGAGAAACAATAATGTACAGTATGTGGAAAATAATGTGTTTTTTTAACATTAAACCGCATAAACACATTTCATTACACCAAATACACAAAATAATGTTCTTTTTAGCAACATCATATGACCCCTTTAATTCATTTAGACCAAGTAATATATTATTGTCCATTTATGAGTTATTGACCAAATCATTGTCAATATTTGTGTTCTTTAGCTGGTCCAGCGCTCAATGTTCAGTGACATATGACATAGTATATATAGTAGTATATATAGGTAGTAGTAATAATCATAATATGTGATTATATTCATAATTTTATAATTATTTTCATCATTAAATTTATAATTATTATAAATAATAATTTTAACATTTGATATAATATGTTATGATGTTTATTTAATATGTATTCAATTTTATTTTGTAAAAAGGAATAAAGTATTCGTGGAAAATAGGGTAGCACATTGATAAAAACAGGGTAGTGTAGCGTGTCAATATTTACAATGTACTGCCACCTAGTGATTGTAAGAAGCATTACTTATGTTTTTTTTTTAAAGTCCCGCAGACTCCATCAAAACAAGCCACATGTAATTCAAATGGTGATATAATTGTTTCTCAAAAACAACGTGTGTGTGTGTGTGTAAACAAGCATGCTACTAATTATTTAGTGCAGGAGAGAATATAGAAACGCAAAGAAAAACGGTTTGCAGTACAAACACTAAAAGTTTATTTTTTTCTTCCCCTCAAGGAAAATATACACAACTGAAAACAATTATTTGACATGAGTCCACCTATTTAAAAACAGCTACCAAACTGAACGTTTCAGTGCTCTCCAGACAAAAGGTTCTGAAAACAAACAAGAACTGCGTCAAATACATTAGTGTTCTCTTTTAATGCAGTTAAAGATACTCTGCAAATCATGTAAAACATGGCTGACAAAAAACAAACAAAACACAATCTTATGTGGTAAATAAGACTGCGATCAACAGTTTGATTCAGATTCAGGAGTCATTTTACCCACAGTAATGACGGCACGTGAACTGTCACTCATTAGTCTGCTTGTCTTTGTAATTAAAGTCACTTCACTTGATGCCTTCGTGTACATGAAATCCCTTCCGCTATATACATGACACCATAACGAACTGCCTTCTTATTGTAGATAAGAAATTCCTGATCTGTCATTTGATTCCTACTAAAATTAAAATATCCTTCCATCAAAATGAGAGAGCAGTAACATTTTTTCTATCAGGTTTCGATTTAATTATTTTTTCTCCCCGCTTTTAAAATGTCAAAGGCATTATGGTGATAGAATCCAAATCTGACTCAAATTACAAATTTTTTTTGGTGTCAATTTTCTGAGCTGGAAAAACACAAAAGGCACTTTCAACACCTTTCACTTGGCATGAACAGAAGTGATAGAATGTGTTTATTTGGTGTACGAGAGAGATGTGACCTAACTTCGCCTAGACTGGCTTGACAAAAATGTGGGACAAAATACATACGTTAAGTGAGGTTATATAGCCTGCTTTTACTCACAATTAGACGAAGTCTGCGATGATAAACACTAAGGCACGATATGCTTTGGTGATTTTGCTATGTAAATTCCCTTTCTTGTGTAGCCTGTTCTGATATGATGATATCTTATGAGAAGAAAAAACGCACTAGTTTCAGAAAGCTGAAGTATGTCATTTTTGCGCCAATAGCGCCACCTAATGGAATTTCAAAAATAAATCTGTTTTCAAAACAGCTTTCCGAATACGTCATTGGTGGAACAGGTAACCCCGCCCCCAACTCACGCCATTGGTCGAGTCAGAGTTTAGACGGGTCGTTCAAAACAAATGGGGAAATTTTCATAGCGCAACTGAGAGAATCTTTATAGTTTTCGCGAAAATTAACCGACGAATGGCTTTACTCACAGTCTCTGTATCTGGGATATGATTTTAAACAGAAAATTACATGACATAGGCCTACTTCAGCTTTAAATGCAAAGAAAACTCACAAATAAACAACAACTTAAGGGTTGAATTTTGTTGTTGTTTTTAAAGTTTCTAATAAGAAAATGATCTGTTTCTTAGTGTTTTAGTATATATAACTGTAGGTCACACTGGAACAGCCCATGTGCAGTGTAAGGCAGGTAGTTCCACATAAATAATACAGTACCTTTTTATGCTCTTTCATTAAAGTTAAATCCACTAAAGGTCAAAAAATACCAGGGGCGAAGTCTTTGACATGTAGTGTGAGAATAAAAGGTTGAACAACAGAAAAAAAAGCTTTCATGTACTATGACAATACGATTTTATACAAGCAACGTTCTTTCAAAAACACAATGTTGGTTTAAAACATCAACCAAGTTAAACAGACATCCGAACAAAGTAACAAAACCGTACCATTTCACGCATACAACAGGTTAAAGAAAAATAAACACCAAAACACAAGTGATAAACAAATTATAATGTAATTATTCATTCCAGACCTCGCCCAAAACATGACAAAAGCCTTCTAGGTGGGACTGGCAGAGGCACAGCCACTTAAAATGAGGTCGTGAGTCATTCAAAGGCTTTTCTTAGTCCGTTAGGCTTTGCCATCCTCGGCGGTCGTCAGCTGTGTAGCCTAAAAGCCTCAGTGAGTTTAAAGTCTCCACTGTTGAGTTTTTTTCACTCTCTGTGGGCAGTCTGCTCTGAGTGTTACTCGTGTGAGTCGAGGAGATTCAGTCTTTGACCAGTCTGTAGATGTGATGCTGAGCGCCGTGCTCGCTGTTGGACACCTCGAACACACAGGCTATGCACAGTAGGGTCTCTTGAGTTTCTCTGTTCGTCACCACCTGCGGGAACGGTGCAGGAATTGATGCTTTTAGCAATCGGCAACACAAGACCACATTTGACGCTGAATACATATTCATATTTACACATGTGCATTTACAAATGACATGGGAATTGTAGGACCTACCAGTAGGATGGTAAAGTTTTCTAGTACGCTGTTCATCATGTACTTCTCAGGCAGGTGCTTGAGCTTATGGATAAAGTTGATCATGTATTCACACATGGGAGACCGGTTGATCTTGTACACAAAACGGCCGTTCTCAAACCGCGCATACTCCGTCTACCAGAAGAGACAAAAAATAAATTATTGAAATAAAAAATGTTATATTAAATAATACGGTTGACATTTTATAATTACATATTATACAATATATTACATATTATATATATAAAAATACAAAATTACATATAATGCATGTGTACATATATATATGCGCATGTGTATATATTAATAATAATATAGTATAGTATAATAATATTAATATTGTGTGGTAAAATGTAATAATTTTATTATTAAAAAAATTACATTTAAATTATATTAAATATAATGCATAATACTTAATATATTAAATTAACTTTAACATTACATATATGCAAATAAAATGACATATAATTGTATATAAAAACACATATGAACCATTAAAAAAGATTTTAAATATTACAGTATTGAAAATAAAAAGATACTAGAAAAATTGTTAAAAAAATATTTATTTAAAAAATGTTTTGTGTATATGGTTTTAAATATTACAATAATTACAATATAGGAACATGTTAAATATTAAATGAACTTTAAAAATTGAGTTAATGAAAAAGTAAATGTTAATAAAATTATACGCAAATTAATAGTAATATGGCGTAAAATAAGTAAACAATACGTATATATAGTAAATTGAGTTTATTTTCAATATGACAACATTTTAATGTTTTAATACATCTTTTTATACAGAAGCTTTATTTCCACGCCTCACCTCAACTTTTTCAACCACTTGTTTCCCGAAGGAGCAGACCTTTGTTGAGCAGGTAATGGTCATGTTCTCTGAGCTCTCGTACTGACTGGTCACGCCGTAGAATGCACCAGAATCCTCCAGGATGTTACAGTTGAGGTCGGCCTGCGGACACATTAGATCAAATGAATAAACAGATGGAGAGAAAACATTTACAAAAGCAAATGTGTTGAATTCCACCCCTTCGTTTGCATACAGTTGAGCAAATGAATATGTCAGATGCTAATAAATAAAAGGTGCTTTATGTTAACAGTAAACTCTTTGGGCACTTTAAGCTGTGAATAGAGCCTCCTGTGATATTCATCAACGCCACAGACACCTGGAATCACTGGCGTCTTTTTTTATTCATTTATTTTTTTACAGCTGCATTTAATGAAACTTTTTTGCAAGTTTATTTTAAAACAGCGAGTACATCGTCAGACACTGTTGAAAAACTTTTTTTTTTCTTTGCACAGTCTTAGAGATTTCAAGGCTATAAAATAAGATTACTGGCCAGCACAGACCACCATCCAAAACTAGTATCTGATGCAAAAGTGTAATAAGTGTTAACCTCCAGAGAGCGGTGTTTGAATGTCCTTTCTATGAGTCTGTACAGGATGTGGTGGTCTGGTCCGCTCCTGCGCTTGCACCTGTCACTCAGAGCGGCAGGTGTTCAAATAAAGGCTCTCTATCAAATCCAGCATCAGCCGTATTAAAGGACAGCGCGCGCTGTTTCTCATTCAGACCACCCTGGATTAAATACGCCACTGCTGGCTTTAACGCTGCACTTTAATCAAACAGGAACGTGTTGAACCAGTTCAGCTGCCTCAATTCAAACCTATGCAGGTGACTAGTGCTCAACGGACACAGTTTTTCAACAGCTGATGCTGAAATCTACAACAGTGTGGCAGAAACCTTCATAATGCTGATATATGGCTGATTCTTCAACTTTGGCTGCTTTTACATCATAGAAGTCTATTTTTCAAATTTATTTTATGGATAGATTTTACCCAGATCAGCCATCATTAAAAAAATATACATTTTTACATTTAAATTAAAGTTAATTTTAGAGTTTATTTCAAGATAATCTCTGACTTCAAGATAAATTCAAGATAAACTCTAACTTCAAGATAAACTCTTAATGACTTAATGAATTTAAAGTTTATATTTAATATCAAAATAATTTTTTTAATAAATTCAAAATGATAAATACATATAACAATTTAAAGTTTATATTTAATATAAAAATATTTTTTTAATAAATTCAAAATGATAAATACATAACAATTTAAAGTTTATATTTAATATGATTTTTTTTTTTTTATAAATTCAAAATGATAAATACATATAACAATTTAAAGTTTATATTTAATATAAAAATATTTTTTTAATAAATTCAAAATGATAAATACATAACAATTTAAAGTTTATATTTAATATGATTTTTTTTTTTTTATAAATTCAAAATGATAAATACATATAACAATTTAAAGTTTATATTAATTTAAGTTAAAGTTAATTGTAGTGTTTATTTAAAGATAAATATTAAAAATGCTAAATACAATTTAAAGTTTACGATTAAAGCTTATATTTAATATAAAATGATTTTTTAAATAAATTCAAAACTGTCCATACTTAAAGAAAAGACTATCTATTATTAGTTATCAATATTTAACGTTTTATATTTGACAATATTTTAAAAAATAATAATAGTTAATATTATTATTATAGGAATAGTTAATATTAATATTATCAATATGACATTTTAACATTATTATATATTTTTAAATAAACCCAAAATTGCACATACTTCAAAAAACATTCATATTTATAATGTTATCAAACTTTTACGTTTTATACTGGCTATGAAATCATTTAATGTTAAATTTATTATAAAATTTTTATTAACATTTAAAATTGTATTAAAATTTACATTAAAAAAAGAGCCAAAAGTGAAAATGTGTATAAAAATTGAAATTAATTATGAATTATTATATGAATTACCCTTATTCCAGACTTATAAAAGCCATCATAAACATTAATGATGTTTAAATGAAAGTTTATATTAGATTTATTTTTTTGTTAAGCCAAAGCCAAAATACTCAATAGAGGCACCTCTATTAATAATTAGTTATTAAAATTTAAAGTTTTTGTATTGAAAATGCTGTCTTTTAATATGAAAAGTTTTTTTATATTATATAATAAGTATTTATTTTAAAAGAGCCCAAAAGTGAAAATAAAATGTGTACAAAACTGCTAAAATAAATTACGAATTATTATAAACCTTATCACTTATAAATATATTCACAATAAATCTCACTACAATGCAATAACACCATTGTGTAAATTACAGAAACTATGAAAAACTGGGGAAAAGTGCAGGGAAAAGAAGGAAATGTGATTGGAGAATGACTGCATGAGCACCACAGGTCAATGTGCTAAGAGCTATGCCACGACTCAGCTGCTCAAACGGTCAAACGCTGAAGACTCACCCAGAACTTGACCAGGAAGAAGGCATGCTGAGGTCCTTTTCCAAACAGCTCCTTCAGCCCACCCTTCTTCTCAGGAAATTTGTCGTAGATTTGACGTATGTCCACTGTCTCCAGGAGCGCATCTCTGTACGAATGATTCGTCTGGCTGATGTGCACAAATATATGCTTGTTGTACTGCAGAAAGAGATGTATAATTAGATCAAGGCAACATTACTACTGGCTATAGAAAATGAACTAAAATACTAAGATATTTTGCGAAAGAATAACTGCTTAAGCTTTTGTTTTTAACTATAGTTTATAGTTTTCAACGAGTTCAGTGCTATTCCCAAATGTTGTTTGTGTGAGAAATGAAGCGTTTCAGATTGTATTTGAGACGTATTTCAGGTACGTTCTGAACCTCTTCCCCAAAGCTGAACGTTTGTGTGACTGTATTGAGAACGCAACTCGTTCTGCGTATGGCTACAAACGCAAGATTAATAGCCGCTGTCACGCCAGACCAGAGGAACAAGCATTTCATAGCGATGCTGCCAACATGATCGATTACACAGGTCTGCTTTAACACGGACGGCAAGGCATTTTGGTAACCTGTAGGTCACGAGAAGTTCTTCCCGGGTCTCGCATTTAATCTACACATGCCGTTTTGTCTTCATTTTCTTGACTGTAGTCAGATCAGTGCTTAAATAGGTCTCATGATTGGAAGACACTTAAGGGAGTGAGTCCCACTTCTTAGAAGCTACACTTCTGGATTCTTCTAGTTTACAAGACAAGATCTGTTTTAGCTAAGCGCTTCGTTTAAATTGAGCTGAAAATGACTCGAAATGATTTTGGCGGAGATTTGAGGTTCTGTAGATTTCCATCATTATCAGTGGATCAGGAAAAACGCAGGATGTGACCTCGGTCATCGTGACCATCTCTAATGAGAGCCAACTGCCCTGCAGCTGGTGTCAGTAGATTTGCATTTCTCTAAAGCATCACAACAAGGTCGATGATCCAAGGATAACTGCAAAATCAGTCATCTCTCACCAACACCAAGTATATGCAAATAAAATCATGCAATACTACTAAAATTGATCTTTACATTTAAATTCAAAGTAGTTTGTATAAACAACATAAGCTGTTAATAAGTCTGATTCATTTTTTTTTTTTTATTATTCATCACGTAAAATTATATTTATGCAATAAAGTAAATAAATAAAATGCATATTTTTGTATTATTTACTGTAATATTTATTATATATACCGGTACTTTAATTTATTATAAAGATACAAAATAGTATATTTATTTTTATATATAAATATTATATTTTAAAATAAATGTAAAATATATTATTTTATAATGTTTATGAAGTAATAAAAATTGCAGAGCTGCCGAAAATGTGCTTGTTGTGTGTAAAACATGTAGGTCTTCAGTACTGAAGCTGTATTTTAGAGGAGCTGCGCTGCGGCTGCTAAAGCAGGTCAAGGCTGCTCTTCTGTCGCTGTCTCTGCAGTGGTTCTGGGTACGTGTGCTGACTTACTGAATCTGGGTCCCGTTGATGCTCCAGGAAGGAGGAGAACTCCACCAGCCGCAGTTTAGAGGTGCTGATAGAGCGCCCGTGCCACGCCGGCCCTGCGGCTGCCAGGGGTGTGGGGGACTCGTAAGCTGCACACACAAACACAGCATTTCAAAACATGAGCCATGTATTAAAACAATAAGATGAAAGCCATTAAGAGACATTTAAACAGAATAAATATACTGTCATTTTTTATTCATAATTCTTACACCACATAATATACTTCTTACATTAAATGATATATGATAGTATACATACATTTTTTATTTATATTTATTTATATGTTTAATGTTAATATAATATATTGCAATATTAATAAATAAGAGTATAATATAGCACTTATTTATATAATATAGAAACAAACTTATACATGAATAATATAAATTTAATAATAGTTTAATATTTTTTCACCAATGTACTTCTTATATTTATATGATGTCATTAATATAATTTTATTTATTTATATTATATAAACAAAATTATAAATTAATAATATAGATATTAATTTATCATGAAATTATATTAATATGATAGCATAATTTTAATTTATATATATTATAAACACAATTATTTTTATAAATTATTAATACAATATATTAATAAACTATTGATAAATTAATAAATGCATTAATAAACAAAAAGTAGATGTTTTGATCCAAAGCAACAGCTTTGAGCAAGCAAACCTAAGAGCCAGAATTATTCTTTTAAAAATATGCAAAATCTAAGTAGGTATATGCAAAGTTACACATGCATAAATGTATAGTTAAGTTCAAAGGCATCTGTTAAAGGGGTCATATGACGTTGCTAAAAAAATAACATTATTTTGTGTAATGAAATGTGTTTATGCGTTTTAAGGTTAAAAAAACACATTATTTTCCACATACTGTACATTATTGTTTCTCCTCTGTGCCCCGCCTTTCTGAAACGCGTCGATTTTTACAAAGCTCATCGTTCTGAAAAGCGAGGTGTGCTCTGATTGTATACACACCTGCGATGGCTGTGGCCGTCTGGATGGGGTAATTCTGCTGTGCGAACGGCTTCACACTGAGGAACAACAGAGGTGATTATCACAAGGTGTCATTTTTAATGAAGAATCTGTTTGTACACGTTTTATTATGTACAAACTCAGCCATGTATATTTAAGTCAATCTAAGTTATATACACTTACTCTTGTGAGGAACCAGGCTGCCCTGTTGACACTTGCCAAATCTAGAAAAGGAGTAAAATGTATTGCAGTGTTATAGTGTAAAACAATACCAATGCATGATGGGTATATTCTTCTGCTTGTCCTTTAAATGGTTTTAAATTTTTGGTTTTAAAGTGGTCTGGGGCATCTCGTACCCCTGTTGCCCCAGGCAAGGTGGGTCGAGGGAGTCCCGCGAGCCCCAGCCGGCTGTGGATGGCCGTGGCCGAGACGATCTGCGCTGAAGACATGGCCGCCATCCTGTTGATCGCATCATTCTTCATGGTCTGGTCCTTCAACGACAGAGAAGATTTAGCTCATGCACTGTTACTGCTATAAAACCTATTATTTTATTAGATGAAATAAAATCGAACCCTGGCTCAAGGGCAAAGGGTCTCATAATTTCTTTAAATGAATTAGTTTTCTTAAGACGTGACGCTGTGAAAAATAAATAATGCCCATTTAAACGGCTCTACCATGCTTCACTATACAAGCTAAATGGGAAAATAGTTTTGCCATTGACCTTTGAATCTGAAAATGGAAAATGTTAAAAATGAATAAACTAAAGAACTTCTGTGTCACCTTAATATTTACTTTCTATACAAAACTTAAATAGTTTTATGTAAGCACTGAATACTGCATATAGCAGAGATAAACTGTACGTGAGGAACTCAAAGAGGAAATTAAAAAAGGAAATTAAGGAAAAAAAATGAAATTAAATTCAGCACAGAACTTTATGAGTCAGATACTACGACATGTGAATTGCTTTCAATCGACAAACACTTTAGGCCACCAATATCCCTCAAATGTTGCCATAACTAGAGAATGCACAGCGCGTAAAGCATGTGGTTAGATTTGATTTTATGCACAATGCTGTTGTTTGCTTTTATCATCATCACTCTTAGTTATTTGTTGTGTGGTGATTAATATCTCATTTACTTTCATGTTTGTTGACAAACTTATGTGTATAAATACACCTTATATGTGAGCTCTGTTAAGCAGTCAGCTACAGCGCATGAAAGCAGCAGTCAGACAAACTGTCTGATAAATGTGTTGCATTGTGGTCAAGCAGACTGACAGGTACTGGAGCGCATATGCTTCAAGAAGAGCCTTTTGTATCATCATAGAAACTGCCAAATTAAATGAGTAACCAATCCTATTCCCGCTCTTTCTCCCTTGGCAAAAGCACCACAATAAAAAAAGAAGAAAGAAAGAAAAAGAAAAAATTAATCAGAGGTTTTGCCAGTGGACTGTCATTCGCTATTTAACCACGAGATGCCACAGCTGCTCAAAATCATGATCCTTTGACATCCTCAGGTCAGCCAATGACAGCATCAGCATCAACACACCACTATGCATTATGTTGTATAGTACAATGACAATTTAGAATTATTGTTATTTTAATACAATATTAAAAGATTGCTTTTTAAAATATATGTATATATGGGGTCAGAAAGATTTAAAAAAATAAATTAATACTTTTATTTAGCAAAAGCATTTTAAATAGTTTAAAAGTGACAGTAAAGACATTTATGTCTTTATAATGTTACAAAAGATTTCCATTTCAAATAAACGCTGTTCTTTCGAACTTTCTAGAATAGAAAAATCCTGAAAAAAAATGTTTCATGGCTTCCACAAAATATTAAGCAGCACAATTATTTTGCCGCAGCACAACATTGATAATAATAAGAAATGTTTCTTGATCACCAAATCAGCATATTACAATGATTTCTGAAGGATCATGTGACACTGAAGACTGGAGAAATGATACGGTAGCATATATATATATATAATCGAGTCTGAAGGTCTCAAGTCTGAAAATTTTGCAACTGGATAGATACTCACATACTGAATAATGTCTAAAGGGGTCATGTCTGCCTTTGACCTTCACACTGCATTGTGATTGTCCTTGAACAACTTTACTCAAGTCAACCCGTGTATCACACATTAAATATTTCAACGCCTTTCCAAAACAAACACACTTTTGTACGAAACAGGAAGAAAACGGACAAACATGGTGAAGAAAAGAAGTTAGCCAGTTGACTGCATACTAAGCAGTCCAGTCACAAGCAGGAAATCTAGGTTACAGACAGCCAAACAGCAGGGCGCTCGTACACACACACACACACACACACACTGTTCAGTACAGATATGGCCTGAGAAACTACACACATACACCCACAGACCTAGACTGGCATGTACCTTTAGCTTGGAGTGAAATTCTCTGGATTTCCTCCGGGCAAGAACCTGGATATGACTGGAAACCTGGCCACACACACACACACACAAAAGGAGCATTTTGTAACCATGGAGATGAAAGGCCCCCTGCCATTAGCCACAAAAACATGCGCTTTAATTACAAACAGAACATCCAACACAGCCTTTCACGTCATTTGTTCAGGAACAAGAAAGAAAGAAAGTGATCGGCTATTTAATTAGTTAAAAATTCAGTTTTTAAGTCAAACTGACTTTACGGTAAAATTGTAAAGATTTGCACTGAATTGAGAACACAAAGCAACAGGTGTCCACTCAGTGAAGAACGCTTTGGTAACTAAGGAAGGCAGTAAGCCAGCGAGACAACGTTTGGATGAAGCCATAAACAAAGTCTGGCTCATCACAATGAGAATTTACTGGAAATAGCCTCTATTATTTATTTCATGTCACGCTCAGAACTTAAAGCAGCTCCACTAACCTGCTTTCTCGTCCGTGTCTTTCCCGTTCTGAGTTTGATGTATCTGGCGATTAATTCGTTACGACCTGTAAGAGAAAATAAAGAAATACATTATATAACATTATATAACCTTTATTTACATTTTGTAAACAAATTATTTCAGTGACTTCAAACTAAAGTATTTAAGGTTACACCAATACACCAGTACTATAGTGACGACTATAAATATATCTTAAATACACAGTACACATGAAGAATTAGCTGAACTAGTGTACAACACAAACTAGGTCTAATTATCTAATTTTTTAAAATTATAATAACCATAATTGATGACTTACATCAAATGAAGATAATTCAAATACAATATTGTGGCAGACGAGTAAATCATTGAATAGACTAAAAATGGCTCAGAAGTCAATATATTGTTTGTTATATTTTCATATAATTTAACATTAGCCAGTTGCTGTCCTACAACTCACAGTAATTCATATTAAATTAAATGTTTGATTACAGTACAGTACAGTAAATTAAATTACTTTTTTTAGTTGATTTTTACAAAATTTAATTTAATTTAATTTAATTAATTACACTAAATTCAAATAAAAAATGCAATTTGAATGATATGGCATAGGCAAATACTATACGTGCATAACAACTTTATTGTCTATTCCTCATATAATACTATGACACTGAAGACTTGAAAGATGGAGCTATGAAAGTATTATGTGAATATGAACTACTGAGCTTATAGTGAACATCATACATTTTTGAACATCATAAAGGTGAGTAGATGATTTCATTTTTGTGTGAACTAGTCCTTTAAGGACAATATCTGACCGCCAGCCAACAAGCAGCGTCAGGGTATTTAGTCTAGCTAGCCTTTACCCAATGTGCCTGCAGTGTAATCTCTTCTAACCCAGACCTGGGCCTCACTATTCTTCCAAACACAAGCACTCACGTACACACACACTAACACACTCTGTACGCTCACAATGCGGGCATTCATGCACACTCTGCTCTCAGATCAAAGACACTCCAAACGGCCAGCTGTAAGCATGCTTACTGCTGCATAATTCATTCTTTCTCTTAGAAATGTGTTCAGGTTTGGTGATGACTCGCTCAACAACACAGAATCATTAAAAGTGAGTGATGACAAAAAATGTTAAAAGTAAACACAGGAGTTGAATCTGACCAAGAACAGTACAAGATGTGGTTTAACGGATGCACTGAAATGCAGGGACAGAGAAAGAGAGAGTGAGAGAGCCTGTTGACGAGTGCTGAGTTCTGAAAGTCTCCCCTGTGGAGTTTGGTAGAAAAATCAGAGCATAAACTGATCAAAAAGACTAGCTCGCTCTCAAAAAGAGATAAGATAAACAACACTATCATCTCAGAATTACTGAATGACAGCTGATTATTACTCAACACTCCTTTACAAACAGTACAGTGATTGTATGAGATAATATAAAATAATACTGAAAGAAAAGTTTAGTCATCATGTTCGGTATATTTATATTTTTGATATTTATAATTCCATGTATTTTAATGTTTATAATACCATGCATATTTTTACTAGTTTTTTTATTTAAAGAAGAAACCAACCTGATGTATAGTTGACATTTGAGGCTTAATGCTATAGAAAAGCAATACAAGTTTTTCATGAAGAGTGTATTCGGCTTGTTTATTTTTTTATAATAATATAGCATGTGGTTGCCAGTCAAACAATGGTATAAAGCTATTCAAAACATCATTCAATGTAAATTGTGATAATCAAAATTAATAATCGCAATTACAGTTTCAAGGGAATAATCAACAATTATGATTTTTGTCATAATCGTGCAGTCCTAATACATATATATCTATAATACAATATATATATATATTATATATATATAGGATATATTACATATATTATATAATTGATATAATTAGTATTATGAATTATTATGGATTATATATAATAAATAACATAGTATAATATAAATGGCTGACAATCCACCAATAACAGGACATCTAAATCATCTGAATCAGTGGCATTACAAAAGTGTTGATGTTATGCTGGTGGAGGGCAGGCCACAAAATCCACTGAGGATGTAGTAGGTTAAAGGTCATAAAATTACAATATTAGCTTGATCAGCACAAAGTAAAGCAGCTCTGAGGAACACCCACGGTTTGCAATTAAAAGCGAGCTGATAAATGGACCTCACACTGACGCAGGGTTAACCTCAGCGTGTCTTTAGAGGGGAAAGATGGCGCCAAAAATGGAGCTCGTCAGTCATTGTGTACTGACAGCTTTCTCTGCTGTCTGTCTCTTCCAACTAACTAAATGAAAGCATGTGATTTATGCTGTGATATCCAAAGCTGAGTGCTTTTCTCAGGATTTTTCAGTTTCTAAAGCAACTGGTACTATGTCCGACAGGGACAATTCACCCAACAATGAGATTTCTGTCATAACAATCCTGTATGCTTACATTTCAGTATGCTTCTTACACAAAGCTATCATATGGCTTCAGAAAACTTGGAATATAGTGCATGTTTTTATTTAGTGAGTATAGTATTGATACATTACTTCATAATGTTTTTGCATCCTTTTTTTCCACATTAAAACATTGAAGGCAGTCTACAAAATTTTTCTTTTGTCCTGTAGGAAAAGAAAAGTTGGTTTGGAATGACATGAGGATGAGTAATTGATGACAAAAGTTTCATTTTTGGGTGAACTGTCCCTTTAAGGTGTGATAATACAGTAAAATTGCTAATGTTCTTCTCATGGCTCTCTGGCCAACCCTTCTTTGCTTTGATTTCAGATAACACTAGCTCAAGTCTCCATTCTCCATGCTGAGTCTGTCTGAAGAGAGTTTAGACTGCATGGGTCATTGAAAAGTAAGGGTGACGTCAGAAGCTGAGACGCGTGGCTCACTCACTCTTGCACTCAAGTTCATCATATGGCAATCATCTTGTCAACTAAAATATCTCTCAGAAAAGTGATGAAATTGGATAAAACAATTTGGTTCACCTCAACAATCTTTGATAAGCTTTGACCATTTCAAATGACCCACAAGTATCGGGGTGTTGGCCTCAGGGTGTGATGGTGACGGGCAGGACAGAAAGCCCAAATCTATGGGACAATGGCTCTGCTGCCCTGCCAGGCCTGATGGATGACTCCGAGGTCTCGGGCTGCTATTAAAATCATAATGGCCTAAACTAACAACACAAAGACTTTCTGCATGAGGTCCATGACTAAGGAATGACGAGTCTAAACTCAGTGCCCAAACTGAGACTGCAATATTCATATCTGATTTCCATGGGCATCACAGAGATCAACAATGTATGTATTGGTTTACATTATATTTTTAGCAACAGAATACAACAATGAAGAACAGAACAGAACAACGATAGATATAATTTTAAATAATATTAAAATCACAATTATTATTATTATTGAAGAAAGTTCAGGTGGAATTTTGTGACATTATAATTATAAACATAATAACAACAACAACAATAATTGTATTAATACAAAATATATAATAGTTATTTGTTGTTATCATATAAAACCTAAATTTAATTTAATAATAATAAAAATAAACTAAATTAATAATATTATATGTTATAAACATATAAAATGTATTATAATAACTATTTAATATTTAATGATTATGGTCAAATTTATATTTATTAAAATACGATTAAATGTTTATGTGTAACTGAAAAACAGAAATGTGACAGATCAATTAACAACTATGCATTATAATACTTTTCCAATAACATAAAATGTCCCACAAACATCATTAAAAATTCAGAGAACTTCTTTCAACCGCACTTTACTCAACTGCTAATTTTAGAAAGAGCTGAATTGAGATGCTTTACATCCTTACATTAGTGTACCGAAAAGACTTCACTCCACCTTTCTGAACAACTTTAATCAAAATACACAGCTACACGACACGTGCGGAAGTTTGATTATGATAAATCAAGGTATTCTGACTTGACTGTCACTACATTGTCCAGTCCCGCTAACATACTTATCATCTACCTGCTCATTTATTGCACAAGCATAAACGGTGAGGAACGACAAATAGCCATATGGTTATAAGTAAAGGTCAGCCTCCAAAAGCAGATGGTGGTCTGAACAATCCCCTCTCTGGGAGTCAGTCAGCTTAGACTGATACGATCTGTAGGCTCAATGCAGGTGTTTCCCTGAGAGCAGGACTGAGGGGTGCGGCCAACTTTTTCCCTGCCAGATAAAGCCATTCACACACACACACAGACACACGCTTATGTGTACACACATGCCTGCTACCATCTGATTAGAGTTAGCCAGCTGTCCTCTGTGACGGGAAGAGCCTGTAACATGATGACACCCCTCCGTCCACAAACCATTTTCAGAGGGAGGGTCTGAGGGGAAATTCAAGGCCAGATGGCAAGAGACAAGCCATTTTCAGACGGAGGGTCTGAGAGGAAATTCAAGGCCAGATGGCAAGAGACCGTAACGGACAATCTTTTCTCTTCCAGTGGATACCCCTCATCCCGCCAAAACTGCTACGATTATTTAGAGAAACCAATTCTGAGAGGAAAGTCATGGACATGATCAGATGGACCAATACTTGATAAGAACAATCGGGTAAAAATCAAATATATTCAGTGAGCCTGGTCATCACTATGAACTTTCAAGTCAAACTTTATTCATAAAGCACATTTAAAAAAAAAATTTAAAAAAACTACAGAAGTTGAACCAAGCACTGTAAAATTTAAGAATAAAAGTTTAACTTTAAAATTGTTACATAAAAAAAGAGAGGGAAAATATACACATTTCATATTAATAATAATTATTATTATTATTAATATTATTTATTATAAATTTAAAGTGAAAATTAAGTTAAAATATATTTTTGTTAAATTAAAAATATTTTCTTATTACTTGTTTCTGGTAAAATAAAATAAAATAATAAAATAAAATAATCTCTAAAAGGACTTTCCTCTTTGGATGACATCGCCAGGGCTACTCAAGTTTCTACCAAAGGGGGCCACAGGCAAAAAAAAAAAAGTCCTTCCCTAAATGTATTCTCTTTAAATACTTCACATTATGAAT